ATTTTGATACAAGAACAGCAATTTTTTGGAATTTTTATCACCAGTTTTTGTCGGATTCCTGTGTGTATGAGACCTTCAATAATTGTAATGCTGGACACTGGTTTCACATTCTGAAGAACTGTGTTGAAAAGATTAGACAGCAGCGCAATTGCTTTTCTCAAAATTCTTCCAGCACTGAGAAGAAATACATGTATGTGCTTCGAGAAAAACTTCATAAATCCAGTCCTGAGAGACCTCTAAAAAAAATGAAACAGTCCTAGCTGATTCATTATGATGTAGTAGTAACACAGCACAGAATGATACGAAATAGATATTACGCACATCATCGACAAATCGCCTGGAGTAACTCTAAACTAGAGTAACTCTAAGTATCAGTGTTACACAATGCGTAGCTCTCATAACTTATGAGAGCTACGCATTGGAGAGTTCCCTTATATATAAGAATTCCCTTATAATTCCCTAATAATTCCCTTATATAAAAGTAGCCCACATTCCCACGTGTATATTTTTGTTGGCGAATATGTTGGCACGAGAAATAGTACTATTCTCCTGCAGCAAGGTTTGACTCCACTTTTGGCATTACCATTACCTTTCATAGGTAGATACAGGGGGAACAAAGGGGGTATTGCATCACACAACCCTTTGGTACTGCTTTTGTCGTTCCTAACCAAATAAAGGATGTGTCGCAAATGGAGCCTTTTTTTTGTAAGAGGTATTGACCATGAGGGATTAGTGAAATTTTGAAAAAAAAATTGAGGAACAGCGGGAAGCACGCACTTTTCGATCCCTCCCTCAACTATGTAGGACAGAGGAGAGAACTATTTAGGATAGAATCAGTGAAGTAAATTGCTACGGTTTTGTAATTTTTTTTTTGATTGGGTAATTAAATTAAATTAATTTTTTGGGTAGTTTTTTTGAGTAATTTAGGGATTGGGTAATTAAATTAATTTTTTGGATTAATTAGGCAAATTGAAAGGATTTGTACTAATACCATGTGAGCTAATCATAAGAAAGAAGAACCAAAAGCAGTCAGATCATCGCTCTCTCTCTCTCGCTCTCACCGTACACTATGTGCCTTACATATCAAAACCGCCGGTAACTTCTAGCGTAGCACCAGTAACATATTGGGACATATCGCTTGCAAAGAACAAGACAGCATCCGCAATTTCGGCTGGTGTTGCCAGACGACCCATCGGTATTGCATCACAAAGCTTTTGTCGTTCCTGAAAATTCGAACCAAATAAAAAGACGTGGGTCGCAAATGGAGCCTCTTTTTGTAACAGTTGTGGGCTGTGAGGGAACCGAACCTCTCATTTTCATTATTTCTGAATCCTATGGATTGTGACTTGTTACCTATTATACTAAGGGCTCTCTTTCTCCACTCGTATATATGTGTATGTATATATAACAAAAAATTAGATTACAAGTAATATGTAGTCAGAGTTCGTGTAATGGCAGCTGACCCAAGTAAACACCCAGCGTTGCTCGTGTAATGCTCAAGTAACGCACACTTCCGATTGGTGCCTGTACACCCCTCCGGCCTCTTGAGTACCTCCGCCTTTCATAGAGAGCAAATATGGAGGGGTTTTAATTGTTAACTTTTGTAGAGAGAGAGAGCAGCTAAAAAAGCAGGCCATGGGTTTTCATATCCGGATCTTTTGGATATTCATAACCGTTGACTTTGCTAGTGTATTTTTGTCATTTACAAAACCTAAAACCGGTAAAAGATTTACCTCTCTGGGCAGATCAGCAGTAAGCGGTGTATTTACAAAACCTGGCAGAACTGCATTCACTCGTATTCTCTTTCTCGCCAATTCTGCTGCAGTTGATTTGGTGAAACCGATCACTCCAGCCTAAATTTAAGTCAGGTTGTTATTTATCAGTAATTTCATCACCTTTCTGAGCTATTAAGCCGAAAATTTTGATTTTATTATGCCTTTTTTTGCATCTGTGCAATGCAAAAACGCATATTGTCGAGGTGTGTAT